CACACAGATATATATATATATATCCACGCAGTGAGCGCATATGTGTTCTGAAAGTGTGTATAAGCGCTCCTGTATATCATTGAGTGGTCTGTTTTGCCTGCATCCCATATCATAGCAAGAGCAGCTTGCAGCCTTCAGGGGATGGTATCTTGCACGCTGATCTGCGTATATATGGTTGCGCCCCGTCGCCCACTCCCCCTCTCCCACCTCCCAATGGGATCCCCCGCACCTTGTTCGCCACAGTTTTTGCACGGTACGCATTTGCAAGTAATCTCTTCGGTTTGTAGTTAGTGCACATTCGCGAGTCATATCTTAGGTAAGTTGCTATGCCATGTTATTATGGTATATAATGCGCTATGTACGTGTGTGTGTGTGTGCATGGCACCGAAGGAAGGGCTGTGTGCCCATGTCTGTATACAAAGCAAAGACATCTACATATCAGGGTGGATTTGGGGGTGGTCAGTTCAACGCGCCTCAAGCCAATGCTAGCTAGAGCCGTTTCCTCGACAGGTGGGCCAGTGGGCTTTCGACACGTGCAGGCAGTTCTACATTAGCTCGACTGTCCTGTCGAGCTCTGGCAAGCATCGCATCGTCAAGCTAGGGGCTTGCTGGGGCGGCTGCTCGGCCGTCGTCTCAACACATCCTATCCGAATGCAGCACGGTTTCACCAGCAAAAGAGCTTCAGCAACTTTGTAAGACAAGAGCTGCGAAGAAACGAGGTTGGGGAGAAGCTGGCCAGAACCCGAGCTACCATGCCCCGGCTGTTTACCGGCTTTGCCGCGACTACATGAAGAAAAAGGCTGGGCAGTACGGATCCTCCGCCAGTGAAGGCGGGGTTGAGACGAAACTCCAGCTGCCATTATTTCTTTGGTATCCGCGCCTCAGTGTGTTCAAGCTTTGGATGCCTGTGGCAGAACTACTGCAATAAGCTAGAATTCCACCCCCGAAAATCAGATCTTGGCAAAGACCTGAGGCGACGACCTGGAGGCAGAATGGGACAAAGTCATCATGACCAGCTACAGAGCCCTGTGGTCGGTCCAGTGCCCCTCTACCGGCCTGGTACCGAACTGGGCCAAAATCTGGGAGGACGCTTAGATTAGGGCTTAGGATGTACGGGTACTTGAGTCCTGGGTAGAAGGATCCGATAGCTTTTTGGGGGCAGGCCCTCTTGGGCATGTCAGCTTGGGGTTATGGGCCAGAACACCCCTCTCTGAACGTCGCGCTTGAGCTCGCTTCTCGTTACCGACACATCAAACCAGAGGTACGTCGTGCGAGCGAGAGCCCAATCCACAACATATGCGTTCGTTTTACTCCAACATGGATGTGTGAGAAGCAACACAGAGCTCATAGCAAAGAGCATGTATTCCTGGCCCAAGAAGACCCTAAGTACTGGAGACGGGCAAGGTCCCGTTGTCAAAGGGCAGGCTCAAAGGGCTTTGAGACTTGCAGCTTGCTCGGGGAACTGCTCTGAGCTGAAATCTCGTCGTGCGTTGCGGGGGAGTCAACCACTCTGGGACATTCCTCCGAAAGCCTAAAGAGCCTGTTACAAGGAGGGCGACGTCTTGAAGGCCACTGGTGGATTCTCTGGCAGCGGAACCCCTGGCCAAGAGTTCCTCTAGAAGCGATGTGTGAGGTTTTTAAGGATCATCCAGGGATGATGGGCGGGTTACATAAGTTGCACACCCGAGGCCTTCAAACATTAGTTCCCAGTTCTCGGACACACTCAAGCTCGAGAAGCTGAACCTGCAAAGCGTCCCAGTCTCCGAACCAAACCTTCTGCCCAGAACCTTCGCAAAGGTCCACCTCCAGAGCCCGAAATCTCAAAAGGCAAACGGCAAGCCCCAAGCCCTGTCACGAAGGTTCGGGGCAGAAGCTGCTCGTACGATGTGGCGTGTCGCTTTGGACTACCTCCTTTTCCCTGACGCCGGGGAAGCCAGGACACTTGGGCCTTGGGGGGGCTGCCGTCTTCTTTCGGTCACTGCAAGCTGCCTCGCTCCCTTCCTGGCTGACGCTCGGGCACACAGATTTAAAGTTCTGGGTCGCAGTGATCATGAGTCATGAAGCTAGTCGGTCATAGCCCAAGCTGCAAGAAGAAGCACTTTCGAGTCGACAGAGGGCATTGAAACAAGGCTGGCTTGAGGCTATAAATATCATCAACAAGCGGGCCTATGAGGCATTTTCGGACAATCTAGCCCGCCTTCTACAGCCGGAAGACCTGGGACGATGATGAAGACATGAGCTACCCATGACCTGTAAGGTCTGTATTGAATGGTCGAAGTAGGGTGTGCCGAAGGGCAAAACAAGGGTCTTGTGTTCAGGAGCTTCCTGGATCCCGTGGTGGCACACCTGGAGACAAAGGAGAGATGGACAGGAAATTGGTGGGACAACTGGATTGACTACCTCAATGTCGACGCTGGCTTGCTTCAGGAATTCTGCTAATCATCTTATCGTGTAAGGAAAGTAGCACCCGTTAATGATGTCTATGCCTTATGACCGAAGCAGTCAGAAACTGGCGCTGCCAAAGCATCACTAGCACCGTTAATGGCATGTATGCTTTACGACGGAAGCAGTCGTGAACTGGCGCTGCCCAGTGATAACACGAAGCGCCCAAGCCAAGTGCGCCGAGGACCCCAGCTGCATCGTCAACCAAGTTTTTGGAGGTTGGTCTTGGAACTGGCCCCTCGGCTGTTGTTACCCAACGTGAAATTTCAGAACCCCAAGCTTTGTTCCTGCAACCTATGCATGCCCCGCATCTGGCAGGCGAATCGCGGTTTCCACAGTCCTGGCTAAGTCAGGAACCTCGCTAGCCCAGGTAGAATGGCCAAGAGCAGTCGATGGCAGATTAGAAGCCGACCAGACCATCCGGAGCGTCCGGGCGAGCGCCGGAAGGTCAAATTCTAGCTAGACACCCTTCCGAAAGATGCAGCTAGAAAAGGTTTCAACCTTCCAGAGGTTCGTAGCCGGTCCGACGTGGAGCTCGCTGGTCTGCCCTGTGGACTCCGTTCAAGCAGGCCGGCAAACTTGCAATCTAGACCGAGACGAGCTGCATAGGACGACATAACAGTCATGATTCATTGCAGCACATTCTAGCGCAGGGTATGCTGTGGATGGGCTGTATGCAGGGGTCGCTGCCTCATGCAACATTTTTATGGAGGGCCGGCTACAGCCTGAAGTCTCACCAGCACTACGGACCAAGTTTAACCTGTTTTCCCCCCTCTCAAGTATGTGAGAGGCGAGGCAGGTCCAGGGCGTGTTCCCTTGAGGACTCCCACAATGGCCTTCAATGGCCTTTAGTCATGTATTGAGCGGAAAACCCTGAAACTCACACACTTCCGGAGTCTGGAGGACGACAGCAACAGCTGATCGATGCAGCCGGACAGCGGCTGGTACACCAGGCGACGTCCTTGAGATCCTTGTGGGTGTTCCTGATACCATAGGATTTAGAGAAGGTATTCCGCACCTCTGCGGCAAGTGCGTTAAACTGGTTATCGTGCAAGACATGGATGAAAAAAAGAAGTGATTTCAAGCTAAGCTTTTGGGTGTAGCGTTCGGGCTTTCGAGTTCTGACTTCTGGGGTGCATCTGCTGCTGCCACGGATTACGCGGCGCAGTTTCTTGCGTCGGGGAGCACTGACGCTGCACTCTTATTCCCACGCCAATTTTCCAGAAGACGGTCCTAAGTCATACTACTCAGCTAAATTCAGAGAGCTGTGTCCCTGTGCCGGTTGAGATGCTCAGTTAGTAGCCCTGGGTCGGCAAGCATGACCGGCTTTTCTGGCTGCACTGTGCCGTCGTACGATTCAGACACCCAGTCCTGGGAAGGGCATCAGCGACTACTACGGCGGAAGTTGGCTCGCCATTTCCACCATCACTCTGAATGGTGTCGCGGCCGAAGAAGCAAGCATGTTGCATAATGGCATAATGTCCAAGATTCAATCAAGAACCTAAACCTAGAGCTACTGAGGAGATATTACCAATGCGGCAAGGCGAATTGGGCTGGTGGACTCTGACTAGGTCGGGCGCGCACGGGCTGCGGACGATCCGCTACTGGCGCAGCCAAGGCTGTGCCAAGATGATGCCCCTTTTCGAGTGCATGCATGTGCCAGAGCATCAGTTGCCCAACCAGTACCACCCAGGCACCCTTCCACAGAGCAGCCATGTTCAACCCATGACAACTTCCATGCCAAAATGCATCCCGTCCCCGAGTTTCCATGCCTGCTGCATCCACCACCGAAACGCCTATAGCCTACACTTGCCGTGTTCCACAACAAGCTGATTCCAGCCAATAAGATGCATTCCCAGTGCCGGTCAAGTGTAAGCTTGTAAGACCTTCTGTTGCCAGTGGCGAGTTTCGTGCAACATTTTCAGCAGTAAAGAGCAAGAGGCCTGAGCACGGGTAGTCCATGCGGATGGCCTAGTTGGACGACCGGTGGCCAAAGTGCTGCCGCGAACAGATTCAGTCCATGTGACCAAGTCAAGCGAGGCTGTAGCTAGGTCCTGTAGATGAGACGGCCACCAAAGCAAGGAGGCGAAAACTGACATCTGCCGGCTGAGCTGCTATCGGGTGCGATGGTGATGCCTGAACAACGGGTGAGTGGTGCGTGTAGGATGTAGGGCTACTGAGGCTACTGTAAGGGGCTGTACCAGGTTGGAGTCCAGTTGGAGAACTTGTCGCCATCTCTCTCTCTCTCTCTCTCTGTCTGTCGCTCTCGCTCGCTCACTCTTTACCACTGCATGTCCTAGGCCTTGATGGCTGGTTTGCCCGACAGAACAAAGATGGCGCCGTAGTATTTGTAGCTGCCTAGCTAGCTCTCCAGGGCTGTCGGTGCGCTTTGAACTTCGCGAAGCGGTTGCAGGGACGATGCTCCCGTGCGAAAAACCCATGGAGCATGGTCACAGGGCCCAGATTTGAACCCCAGATCCCACACTTGCTTCCAGCCAAGTTGGGGGCCGTAGCTCGCGCCCAGAATCTTGTCAACTGAACGGTCTGTTGCTGTGATATCCTGTGAAACCCTCTCGCTGCAGGAGACGGAGATGTGCGCATTCCGAAGGAAAGGAGGCTGGACAGAAGCGGTATGAAGCGGTACTGACTTTCGTTGAATTGGCTGCGGAAGAACAAATCCTCAGACCGCCTGAAATTTACCGCGGGCCTAAGCTGAGAAGAGCTGGAGTCTACAGCATCTACAGCGCAGCGCGCGACTGCCTCAAAACGGAAAGGACAGCTCGGTCCCAAGCCTGACTCGTACAGCATTCCCAGGTTGGAATTAGAGTTCGAGGGCTGGTGGCACTGATGTTGGAAGGTCCCAGAAATCTTCAGAGATCCGTCAAATCTGCCTTGACCAGCACTACGCTTCGACGACGAGTGGGCGAGCTTGGAGAGTCCACCCTGCGATGTGAATGGCCCAGGAAGTTGAAGCTGTATCGGCACATCCCATAGCATATAGGCATACAGACTTACGACTTGTACATGAGTAATGTACCGGTACTTGTGCATATATATATATATGTATGTATGTATGTATGTATGTATGTATGTATGTATGTATGCGTGCATGTATGTATATATATATATATGTGTGTGTGTGTGTATGTGTATGCATGTATTACACACACGCGAAAGTTAATTCATCGTATGTCTGTTTGTCCTCTGGTAGTCATCTGACTATGTATCTATTCATTTCTTTGTGTTTTTTTTGCGCGCGTGTGTGTGTGTGTGCGCGAGAGAGCTGGCTTTGTGTGCGCAAGAGTTGGCTTACCTGTTAGCCTGTGAAAAGGGTGCGCCTTAAGACAGGTCGTTTTCGTCTTTCGGTTCGAGGCAAAGCTGCAGACTGCAAAATAGAATATGGCGCGTGCAGCCTGTGTCCGAACTTTGAAGCCATACAGAAGCAGGGCCATATGCAGAATAAAGCTGCGAAGAAGGCTTGCCTGTCCACGCACACGTGGTAACCAGGCCGTTCAAAGCTAAGAGCTGAACCTGATTTAACCTGATTCAGTGTGGGGTGGTCGAGCCCTAAACCCTAAACGTGTGAGTGCTGAAACCCTAAGCCCTAAACCCTAAAAACAAAAACCCTAAGCCCTAAACTATTTAGCAAAACCCTAAGCCCAACAAAAAAAACGAGGCCGCCACGGCTTGGAAGGCCGGGGTCGCTGAGCTCCAGGCCGCCCGGGGACAAGGGGGGTGGGGTTGGGAGGGGATCCTTTAGAGTTTGGGTTTAAGGTTTAGGGTTTAGGGTTTAGGGTTTAGGGTTTAGGGTGGGAGGGGGTCCTAGCGATTCATGGGGCGGTTAGAGTTTGGGTTTGGGTGGTTTAGGGTTTTGGGCGGGGTTAGTGACTTCAGGGATGTGGGAGTATGGCTAGCGAAGGTGCAGGGTGGGTCGAAATTGTGGTGTCTTTGGGGCTCGCCGTCAAGTCATCCTACACTTTGGGCGTGGGAGTGGCTTAGGAACGGAGCTGGTGCGGAGACTTTGAGATTTGGGTTTGGGGTTTAGGGGGGCAACTTTAAACTCGAGGAGGGGAGGCTTAGAGTGTTTGCGTGCGGGTGTATTGGTATATTGATTCTGTTGAGCCTTCTTGAAGCCTGACTTTACCATCTGGCCGAATGCGGAGGGCTTCAGGGCTATGGGAGGATCGATGGCTGTTCCCCTGTGCAGGAAAGCTTGATGGAAGAGTATGGAATTGGAGGCCCGTTCCGACATGCCATGGCCCTGTTTTCTTCAGACTGGAATCTTAACGGCCGTGAATGCCACAGTATTCTCGCTTTGCCCGGAAGCTTGAACGCTCAAGCTGCCAGGATCCCAGGTGGTTGAGTCCGAGCACCCGTATGAAGCCAAGGCCGCCAACTGGTTCAGGCTTGAGGCGGACGGAGGCTCGAATTTTGTCGTGATTCGGACGAATCATGGAAGATAGGACAACTAGAGGATTCCTTTCAGGCTGCGTGCAGACTGCTGGACCAGGAACAACTCTCTGCAGTTGGAACCAGCTTCTCTCCAACGTCGTAACAGCGGGCAACTACACAAGCTCAGGGATTCCAAGCATGCTCTTCCGCCAGGGCTTCCGGTGGACCAAAGAAGTAACCATACCGGGGGCGGCGGCGCTGGTGGTGCATTTCTACAACAAGAGCTGCACATATGAAACTCGGCTGAGGCCTACACAGATCCAGGTAGCGAAAGATGTGTGAACAGCTGAGCCGACTTTGTCTCGAGGAAAATATCGGGGCTTAGGAATAAGGGAGCTTAAGCCTCATGCCAGAGGCCTCAGTGGCTCGTGAGTGCCGAAGCCCCTGCTGTGTAGCCTAAGGCCTAAAGTCTTCCGAGCCTGGACAACACTTTAAATGGCATCAATTGTACCCTAATTCTTGTGTTATCCTACACTGTATTATGCTATATTTTGCATACTCGTTTCGCGCGGGTACCCAAGCTAAGAAGGCGTGACGGTGCCTGAAGCCTGGCCCCGGAGGTCAGGCTAAAACCTCGAAATCCTAAATTCTAAGCCCTGAGCTTATGGGCCTGTCTTCGATGATTCCCCAACTGACCTCGCTTGTGGGCTTTGATCCTTAGCTATGCGAGAGGGAAAAAAGCCCTCAGGGAAGTAAACCCCCAATCCCAGAACAGGGACCCTTAAAAAGCAACAAACCTAAAGTTCTTAAGGTAACATAAGGACTATATTAGTGACTATATGCTCAGGTATAATATTATAAAGGGATATAAGGACTACATGCTCAGGACTCCTCAACCAAGCTCACGGTTTTCTCCGGTGGCCTCCGGCGAGACGGTGCAGGGCCAGGCTTGGGGTCTCCTCGTAGGGACAAGGACGAAGATGCTCTGGCAGGGTTTAGGGCTTAGGGTTTGGGGTTCCATAAGGGCTGTATAAAGTGTTTAGGGTTTAGGGTTTAGGTTTAATTAGGGTTCTATAAGGGATAGTATAGGGTGTTTAGGGTTTAGGGTTTAGAGTGGGTTTATATGGGTAGTTCTCCAAATTAGGGTCCCTTTTAGGGTCCTTTGTGTAAAGGTGCCATACTATATTGGGGACTTAAAAAGGGTTTTGTTGATATGGGTCCCATTGGAGATTATAAGGATGCTCACATTTGTAGTGGTGATGGTAGCGATGGTCATGCCGGTATCATCACCACCGAATAACACCAAGCTGCCGGCAAGTTTGGGAGTCTCCCTTAATTCCGCCTCTTTGTGTGGAACTCCTGCCTGGGGCCCTCCCAAGATGGAGCAGCTTTGAATCGAGCTGGTCTTGCATGAATGTGCCGTTTCATTACTTGGAGTTCACCCAAAGAAGCACCCCCCGAAATTGGCCAGATGCCCCAAAGGATTCGGATCATAGGTGATTGTATACCCATGTGTAGTAGTCCCCTACGTAAATATATTATATATATATATCTCTCTCTCTCTCTCTCTCTCTCTCTCTCTCTCCCCTTCCCCAAACCACATTCCAAGTACTAGTAAGCTACACTGTCTGTATCTATGCATATAGCGAGCGAGAGTTTACATACATGTATGTATATATATATATATGTATATATACATATACACATACACACACACACACATATATATATATATGTATGTACACATATATTTTATTATAGCATTCCCTCAACCACTTTTGAAAAGTTATAGTATATGTATAACCAGCTGTACAATATTACCCAAAGCCCTTCTAATTATTGCGCACCCATATTGCACCCGCCCCCTTCTCCTGGCCGCAGGTGCTCGCGTGGAGCTCCACACTTGCCAGGGCCTTCTCGAATGTATCATTAGTAGTATTATTCTTCTTCTTCTTGATATTATTCATATACTACTCCTGCTTCCGTGGTGGTTCTCGTACTGGTAGCTGTGGTTATGACTTCTGCTGGCTGTTGCTGTTGTTGTACTAGTATGATCGTACTTACAATAATAAAATAACAGTAATAGCAGTAACAATCGGAATCGCAATAATCATAGTAATAACCTTAACGACAACAACAATGATGATAATAATAACAATATTATCAATAATATCAATAATAATAATAATAACAATACTAATAATACCAATAATAGTAATGAGAATGGTGTATAACAGTAATGACAATAGCAACAGTGACAGCAATATTAATTGTAATAACAATCATAATAGCAGCAACAACAATTAATTGTAACGCTTACTCACAGTATTAAGCAATAATTTCAGTACTAACAACGGCAAAGAATAAAGTTGCTGGCCGAGGTTGCAACCAGAGGGTCTGGGGCACCGTGCTCGAGCGCACGGGCGACAGTTGGAAGGCTCCACGGCTATTCTAGGGGTTAGGGTTAAGAGTTTAGAGTTTAGGGTAAGGTTTGACTTTGGCGACGCTTCCCGGATGCAATAGTCTGGAAGTGCCGCTTCCCAGCTGATTGGCAGAGTCTGGGTTCAAAAAAAAAAAGGGGGGTTTAGGGTTAAGGGTTTAGAGTTTAGGGTTAGGGGTTAAGGGGTTAGGAGCCGGACTTGCTGGCTGACACTTAGGGCCCGGCTGCAACATGGTTTAGGTTTAGGGGCCCCGTGCAAGTTCATTTCTCGTGACAGTCAGATTTGGAGATAAGCTTCGATACCGAATCTAGGGACCGGAGGAATTGCCGATAGCTTTTCTTAGGGTTCCTCGCTGTACTCGTACGATAACATACCCAGACCCTCTTCTAATCATCAACGATCCGATCTAGAGGCCCCAGGCTGCTAAGCCTCGACAGAACAGAGATCAGCAGAAGCTCCGCAACAGGTGCTGCTTGACCGCCGCTCTGCCGCAAGAGTCGCATTTTTTTTGGGGTTTCGGGTACTGCAGGGGTCGAAACACAACAAAAAACCCTCCAAGACTTAGGCTCTCATGTGGCATCCGAGAGCATCTCACTGGGCCCTGAGAGGCTCCGCTCCGCAGCCTAAGCCCAAGCCAAGGCAAGAATCCGAGTGCGGCACCTCGCGAGACGAAGCGCACTTGGCCTCAGGCCGGCTTTTTGACTCAAATGTGCCAGCTCTTAATCGTTGCCGTGACAGCGGGAGGGCATCAGTTCCAGGAAGTTTCATCCTAGGCCTATTCTCGCAGTGCGCTCGGCAGCAAAACTCTTTTCGACTAGCCGGCAGATCTTCCATTGCATATCAGTTTGTTACCCTGGCGGAGATTGGATGTTGTTCCTGAATAAGTTATTCGACTCGGTCCGGAGTGGAATGCGGGCATAGATCAGTGATAAGGGCATATGACGAACTTCCCACTTTGATGTAGCATGTGCGTTTTGGCTTGGCATGCTTCTGTGAGAGCACTTCTTGTGGTAGATCGGAGGGTTCGATATCGCCACTTCCTTGCATTGCAGGTTGTCTGGGGTACTGCTAGTAGGGCATTCTTGCGTCGCGGGGTTCGCAACTAAATTAAGGGAGCTTCACGCAAGCCTGGTTGGATCCAGGTGGGCGATTCAATCGAGGCTGCGACCTGAGACATCCTGATATTAGCGTATATTCATTATGTTGTGTCGTGGTATGTTGTGCTATGCTATGTTATGCCATGCTATGTTGTGTTGTGATGTGTTATGTTACGCTATGTTACATTACGTTATGTTTTATGTTATGTTACATTATGGTATGACACATACTGTCTATGATACATGGTCACCATCCTGGACCCAGTGGGTCTTGAGTGCTACGTAGGCTGGAGGGACCTGCCAGGTTTCTCTTAGTCGGGATATGCCAAGGCCCAGTACTTTGGGGGCATGTACTACGCCGCGAAAGTGGCAGAGATCAAGGACCCGTGGCGGCTGTTGGAGCGGTGTCGTTATCATGAAGTCCCGAAACAACAGCACCCCTTTACGGTACCCTTCCCCTTCGAGCGAAGATGCCCAAAAATCCCTTCAGCACTGAGTTTTCGCTTTTTGCACCCCCCGCCAAACCCCAGCTCTTGGAGCCTCCGAGCGTGCTCTTCAGGATGATGGGCGCCAGCCTGAGAGCCAGCAGGGTTTCAGGTCTCAGTGGTCTCAGAGTCTGAATGTCTAAGGTCTAGGGCCTTGAGGGCCGTTTAGGGTTTCAAGTTTAGAGGCTTAGGGCCCAACTGTAGGTAACTGCTTGACTTGACATAAGTACCTGTCATGACGGGGCTTTGCCTCCGCGGGCGACACAGGTCGAAGTGGCTAGCTACATCTGCGCTTCCGCGGCAGTATTGTAAAAGCATCGATGTGCCCAAAGACAACAGCATCCCTCCAGGGCCATCACGGTCTATGTGGTGGACTGGGAAGACGGTGACGTGCGAGACAAGGAGGGCTTTCGGGTTTCAATTGTCGGCCGAAGTCCGAAGGGCTGGCGAAATGCTAGCTGGGTCCGAGACTCGGAACGGCAAAACGGGATGCGTTTTTCAGTGGGGCGAGATCGGAAGGTTCAACGGTGTCAGGCTCTTCTCGAATCGAAACCACGTATTCCCTGAGCTGCTTATACTCACGCTACAAGGATCCTCGATGTCTGGATGATGTGGGAAACCGAGAACCGCAACTTACGGAGTGTTCTTAGCATACCAACCGCAAGTGCTGCGCAAAGCTTGCGACAAGGGTGGTGCAGAAATGCGCTTGAAACACACCTCCTTGTTTTCGGTACTTTGCGGAGATGTCCACGCGACCATCCCTCGCACAGCTCTGCATATGTCTGCGGACAGCCACGACGAGAATGGGCCACACAGGTTGGGAACAAAGTATGTTAACCCCCTTGGAGCCACCGTGAACAACCAGCCTTTGAGTGAATCCTCACGGCATCATACCGTGTACCGGGTCTTCACTGTCCACCCCCTATAACGTGACAAACCCTAGGCCCTAAGCCAAAGACCCACAAACTGCAGGAGAAGCGCCTCGAGCACCTTCGCCCCGTTGGCGGCGGCGCGCCGCCAGTGGCGGAGGCTGTAGCGTGCGGAATCCCAGAAAGCCGGCGGAGCAATTTCAGTGACATGATCCTGATCAGGCTCTACTTCGTCAGGCGTTGATGGATGGATGGATAGGTATAGAAAGTTGCACATGTATGTATTTAAGGGATCATGACCAGGGACTCGGAAGCAACAGTCGCAGTGACAGTGGGAGCATCCGTTGCAGAGTCCCTGTGGCATGACAGGGAGAGAGAGTCACAGCGTCAAAGAGCAATCAGGTTTGTACCCTGAACCCCTAAACCTAAACCCTAAACCCTAAGGAAAAAACCCTAAACCCAACATAAAGCTAAGTGGAAGGGAAAAAAACCCAACATAAAACCGAGTTGCGGGAGTCCAAGCCCAACATAGCCTTGGATGTGCCGAATCAGGGAAAATGCCGCTGCAAGCCTTCGGGCCCCAAATGCCACTTTGAGCTTCCCCTCTGCCAGCCTCCCCCCCCCGGTTTCGGGTTTTTTGTTCTAGGGTTTAGGGATGAGGGCCCCCCCCTCCCGGCCCTCCGCCGAAAAGCAAAGCCTCAACCAACAACTCAGATGCTTGCCAGCCCAGGATGTCCGAAGCTACAGCCCCCGATGTCCCAAAGCCAAAAACCCATGTAGCATCCGTTGCAGCCATGAATCTGGGGGCACCCTGCACGCTCAAAGCTCTCCTCTTTTCGCTGCTCTTTACGGCGGCTCCGGCGGATCCCCAGCTTGCAGAGCTTGAAGGGTGTAATTGTGGCTGTATTCCTTGCTCGTCTCTATATTTCTAACTAGTATGGCTGTAGCAGGAGGGCGTTTGGGATCTTAGGGAGAGCTTTGGTTGCAACAGGTTCTTGTTCTTGGGGGTGCAGGCTTAGAGCTTCAGGATTCCACAAGGGCTTGATGGCAAGCTTAGGTTGTTGTTGCTTTAAGCTTTGGGGTTTCACGGGTTTCAGGTTCGGGGAAGCTTCCAGGTTTCCTCCCTTTTGCAAGGGGTTCCCCAGTGTACCGCCCGAGACTGTGGCCCTGAACCCCTCCCCAAAAAAGAAGCAACATGCACCTGCGCCGAGTACAAAGTATCCCAACACATTCGGCACCCCCCCNNCCCCCCCCCCCCCCCCCTCTCCACCCACCGCCTTTAGGTCGTCTATTCTAGACATTCTGTGAAGCCGTATACTAGACCCTGGACCCTACAACCTGAACCTGAGCCTGAGAAGCCCTCACTTGACAGCACGTGCTCCCCGGACCCTAAGCCGTTGCTACAGACCTTGACAGGCTTGTGCGAGCCTGAGCGTCACAAACACCCCCATTGTCCCATAGTACAGTCGGTTACATTATGATATAAATCCCGCATGTAAAGCTGGCTGTTGCAGGTTGAGGTTCGGCACTGGGGGTGTCTCTTGTTTGCCCTTGGGGAGGACTCAGGTTTCAGGGAGTTTCTCTTAGCACTGGCAGCCGCCTCGGAGCTGCAAGGACTTTCCTGGAAAGTACGTCATCAAGAGTGATGGAGTTAGAGGGACTAGGACTAGGACAAAGCTGTCGTGTCAGCGGTTACCGTGATAGCTAGTGCCATGGCAGCCATGAAAGTCCCATGCCCAGCATGACGTAAGACCTAAGTGCTCCGGCCTCCTCATTCGTTGTGCAAGCCCTGTGCCCTGCCGGGTTCTCGAGTTTCTAGGGTTCAGGACGGGTTCAGGTCTCATTGTTTCCAGCAGGTCGGACCAGGGCTACGAGGTTCAGAAGCTGGCGCCCCGGGCCTTTTATTTAGAGGCCCATTCGAGTAGAGGTGCTTGGCACCAAACGCGGAGGAAGATGCACGTCCTGCGCTGAAGCTTCTTTCCCAACAAGATTCTAAAGGCCCGTCGGCTCAGGAGGCTGGGGAACAGCGGGCTCGGATTCTTCGCGACGGCCTATGGGGCCATCACCGAGGACTGCAGGTTGACCCAGGGCTCGACTTGATACTTTCTGGCGGGTGTCGGGATTGAACATCCGTGACTGGTCGTGTCTAGCTTATAAGGAGCCAGAAGGCTTGATCAACAAGTGGACAACAACATGTCTCGCGGTTGCTGGAAGTGCCAGCATGATACCTAGACCTGAAGTTCGATTTCCAGCAAGTGGCAGATGGGGATTTGGTTTCTGGTTGCATCCAACATGTAGAATCCATGTAGAGCTGAGATCGAGGCTCTGGGTGTGGTTTGGTGAAGATCGCTTCTGGGTGAGACTGCGAGGAGCACATGTGGAGAATCCATGACGAGGGGAACAACAGCTTCAGCTTGAGCAACGTCGTACCTGGGCGGGGGTTCCTGTTTTTCGGGTCAGCCATCCTTGGACACATGGTCCGATTTACTATGCTAGGATGTCGTGCTGATTGTTCGGGTGCTTTTCACAGTTTCCGACGTCGGCGGATCCTGGTCTTGGTCAGCAAGGCCGTTAAGCATTTCTGGAGTCTTAGAGCGGCCAGAGATCAGGAGCCCGCGAAGCGAAACCCCAAGTCAAACTCTCACAGTTTGGGCTTTCATGGTTGCAGTTTCATAATATACTATACTACAATATACCATGATATACCATAATATACCATAATATACTATAATATATTGAAGGCGTGCCGGCTATGCAGAAACAGCCGCCTCCCCGACCACAGTGCACCTGATGCACGCCAGAAGCCCTAAGCCCGGAGTCCTTGTTGAGATTGGGCGGGAGTAGGCTTCACTTCCAGACGCTCCCTGCCGAAAACTACCAAGCAATAAAAATGATCTTTATAGCAACCTTGAGCCGATCTTGCTTACAGATCCTGACATTTGCCTCGAACTTAATGTGATTGCCGAAGCTTGGTATCCACATGGGACTGCCTGCTTCATTGGCCTTCCTGTCCTGACATGATCTCAGGGTTGGAGGGGCTGGCATAGCTGTAGAGCCCTGGTTCAAAGAAGCCAAGGTTTCTGGCAGCCGGATTCTGGCACAGAGCGGTTTCGAAGGCGCACACGGCTTCTTCGCAGTGGCCGATGGTCCCGTCTACCAGGACCCTTTTCCTCAGTTGTTGGTATTCTTGGATCAGAAGTATTGTGGCTGCTTTTCGGGTAGGCAGAGCTGAGAGGTAGCAATTAGTCTCGCCTTGGTAACAGATAGCATCCCTTCGTGATCCTTCCTCTCGAAGGATGATTCCGGCAGTTTGGCTAACCTTAGTGCAGAAAAGACAATTCACAGATGCATGGCTGGAAGGCAGTCACGGCCGTCCGAACGAGTTGGTCAGATTGGACAGAGCCATTTTCTCCGAGCACTGCGTTCTTCGTACTCTAGTACTGCCTAGCCATGGTGGTTTGGCCACCGAGGGTAGCTCCCGACGTCCCACGCTGGATATTATATACTGTATAACTGATTATAACTGTATATTGTATTATATATATATACACACATACTAACTCTCTGTCTCTATATGTATACATATATATATATGTATACATATGCTTATAGATATCTATTAGTGGTATTACGACGAAGATGCCTCCAATCCATGCCCAATTGAAACCCGCTTTCGGAGGACCAGAAGTGGCATCTGATGATGCAGGGCGACGGGGCCTTCGTGATCACCAACGCCAAGTCGGGTCGGAGGATCTGGGCCGTGGATGAGGCCACCCCTCTCACCACCGGGGAGTGGAAGGTGCATCTGAAGTTCGATTAGGAACGGCCGCCAGGTTCGCTGCAAGCAGGAGCTGTACGATGGCAGCTTCAGAAATCTAGGAGTTTGGTAGTGGGGTTTCTTGAGGCGCAGAGTCCCCCGATGTCCGAAACTCTCAGCCCATTTGAAACCTAAGTGCCAACGGAACCCTGGCGCCGAAACCCTAAACCCTATAAACCCTAAACCCTAAACCCTACTGATCTTAAGGGGGGGTACTGCAGTTGCCTGGATGCTGGGAGCCTCGCGGGGAATGATAGTGTCTGCACTTGAGGGATGATTCATGTGGGTATATGGTATTGCGGCGAGTGGCTCCCGTTGTCATGCCTCAGCCAACCTGGCCTTTCGAACTCCTTCGGGCTGACGGAAAAGGGGCGATAAAAAAAAACCCTATAAATCCTAAACCCTGCGCTAGGATCGTGGGGGCCTGAGCTTCGGGGCGTCGCCGATGCTGGGCTCCGAGGGCCAGTCCTGGTGGCTGATCAGGCCGGTTTAGGGGTTTTAAAGGTTTCGGTCTAAGGATTTAGGGGTTTAGGGTTTGGGGTTTAGGGGTTTAGGGGAAGGGTTTCGGTCTAGGGTTTGACGGCTGGACACGGGATGTTCAGGCTTTACAGAGAAGTTGAGGTTGAGCAACGATGAGCGTGCCATTCATGGAAGTCGGAAATAGGGGAAGGGCCTGGGGAAAATACCAGACCGAATCCTGCAAGGCAAGATATCGACGAGTCTGGCTTGCTTCGTGCGGAGCTTGCTGCAGAGCGGCGAAGCACTGTGGATGCAGCGACGATGCTTTCGTTTGGGCTCTGGCACTTCAACAATGTTGGTAATGGGACGTCAAGTTTATTTGAAATGATTCTTATCCCAGGATTTTTTCAGGATCTCGACACCTTCAAGACTCTCCCGATGTCGGCGTTTGGGCTTCTTCGTTGAGCAGTTCATGCGTGGTGAAAAAGTTTCATGGAACATCAGGGGCTTCATAAGCATTTTCTTGCACTTTGCAACAAGCAGTTGCTCAGCTCCCCAAATCCCCCCGGTCAGAGGACCGGGGAAGTAGACCATGTTGTGCCGCCGGTATTTGTTGCGTGTCTGACGTTCCCTCTTCGATGTAGTTTGGAGCTGCATGCAATACCCGTAGCCCGTAGCCCCCGAACATGCTCTATTCCAGCTCGGCACCTTGCTGTTCTCTCGCTGAGGCAAGTCGATGCTGCTTGCGAAGGCCCCATGGCCGAACCGCCAGTGGGACTTCTTTCTCTGAGGTTCGTGGACTTTCGTTGGATGTCTAGCAAAGTTCGCAAAACAAGGTGGTAACCTGCATGCTACATCTCGAGCAACTTCCAAGATCTTTGCAATCACAAAGAACGCACGAGCTCGTGACAGGATTTGTGTATGACGAACCTAGGTGTGAGGCCGGAATAGAACACTTACGCCCCACACCCGTGGCCTGAGCCCAGTGACGTCAATCAAGCCTCTGAGGTGGAGGAGCGAGATGCAAAGCTCGAAATGTTCCGACGAGAGGCTGAGGCACTGGGTCTATGAAGTACTATGATTTGCACTGTTAATGTTGAAGCCGCATTGTACATCCGCGATGTTGAGGGCCGTGTTGGTGCGAGCGACGATTCGGCGACCATGCCAGGTTTAGGGGTGATGTTGACAGCGCTTGTTGCGTGGTTCTAGCAGCGACGGCAGCCATAGTGTTTTGGGTGCTGGCCCAGGCCTCGCTTCAAAAATCAACCCAGATTTCGGATCCTGCTTTTGGCAACATTTTGTCTGCCCCTATTCAGTCCAGCGGTGTAGATCCCCATCTGTACTTACTACATATGATTACATATCCATCGGGCTGTGTCGCTGTACGAAATTTTGTATGTACTCCTCCCCTCCCCTCCCCTCCCCCCTCCACCTCCCCTTCCCTCCCCTCCACCCTCCCCTCCCCTCCCCTCTGCTCCGCTCCCTTCCCTACCTTCTTTGCACCGCCGGCGTACAAGCGTGAAGCCTGCACATGCAGAAGGCAGGATGCCCCGCGGCTCCCCCGCCGCAGTGGCACCAGTCATCAGATCTGGGACTGCTTGGAGCTTCCTGGTTGGCAAGGGGTCCCTTTCAAGGGCTCGAAAAAAGGGTTCCAAAATTCTGGGATGCCCGAAGATGTTGCAAGGTTGTGGGTTGGGTCATTCCGAAGTCTACCAATGAGCCGTTTATCACCTCCTGGATAGATGACTAGGGTGGACGGACAGTTAGATACCGCAGGGAGCCTCAGCTTTCGCGGGGGAAGAGGTATACGAAAGCTCAGCTTGAGCTCTCACGCCGAGTCCTCGCTCCCCGGTCCCGATCTTCCCAGAGCTCAAGAGGAGCAGAAGGAAAACGAAGCCCTCCTGCCATCCTTCTCCACCCTGGACCCAGAAAATGACTCCGAGTCCGAGCATTTTCTCAAAAGAAGCGCAGAAGGCCCAGCAAGAGCTTTGAGGCTTGGACTCGGACCTGGGCCGTCGACCAGACTCTCTCCTTGTACCTCCTCACAGGCGTGAGGGGAGTCAGGGGGGTTGGGGAGATGTGGGCTGCAGAATGGAGGGAACATGCGGCCTCTTGTCGGAATAGAACTCTGCACTTACTGGAACAGCTCACCTGGTGGTATCCTCGAGTCGACTTCTCAGAAAAAGACCCTGCTGCGAGGTTTGTTTGCTGCCAGCTTTCCTGTCAGCCTGGAGGTTTGCTGCTGCTGGGCCTATTGAACATCCACCTCAACCTCCAGCTGCAGATACTAGGACTCAGATTTACTGCTGCGTGTTGGTAGGGCTCGGGGCAAAGGAGCTAGGTCTCTTGGTCAGTCAAAGATTGCACAGCCGACGTTCTTCTCACTTCCGCTGTTTCAGGGCCTCTCGATAGCGCAGCCTTGCGCGTTTCAAAGATTGCCTCGAGGCACATTGCCCGGCTACAGTTAGGAAGATCGACAACTATCACAGTCATGTAATAATGTTATCCCTTTCGGGATACCCTGCGCCCGAAGCAGACACTAAACAGAATGCTGTGCTGCTTCGCCAAGGAAAGAGCGCGGTTCCGGGCAGAGGAAAGAGGCCGAGTCGAACAGTCAAAGATCACATAAGTGGTAGGCTGCACTATACTGGGTGCGCGGGTCCAATGGATCGTTTCAAAACGCGTGACAAGCTTTTCGTTTGGGTTGCTTGCTGCCCCTTGTCTCCGAACACTGCACAACGAGGGATGATGTCAGGCATTGCATGCTACATTGGGCGTCGGCCGTCGGCCAAGTATTCGCCAGGTAGTTCCAGAGACCCCACCTGCGGCCGCCACAACTCCTGAAGACCCTGGACAAGGCAGGCTCGTGCCTGTTCCTCATTTATCCTCTCGGCGGTGTTGCGTTTTTGTCGTGTATGATGAGGGTCGTGAATGGCCAGTAGTTGTGCAAGCGGACCTCTCTAGAGCCTGGTAGAATGCCCGCAGAATCTTGAGCCAATTTCTGACTCCGCGAAACCTGTTCTGCGCCGGGTGAAGGTCAAACTGGAAACTTCTTTCATGCGATCCGAAGCTGTTCTAAAGTTTCCAAAGTCACATCACCCCGACCAGGTTTGGGCCAGGACTTCGGATACCACGTCCTGGACACGGAGGCTTCGGCTTCTGTCAAACAGACTCGGGAAGGCAGTGTGGAAGACTTGTAGAAGCTTAAACAGTGACACTATCAAGTCGATATCCCCTTTGTAGCAGGAGGAGGTCTGCATGCGGCTTATGACGACCAGGGAGAAGACGCCGTATAAGGTTATAAAAGATAGAACGACGGCAGGTCAATGGCAATTCAGTTCGGCTCATCAAGATCCAGTGCCCTGGAGTGGAGCATGAGGATGTCAACGTGGAGCTCCTCTTCAATGGATGCCAGGCGGCGATACTCATGCTGAGGATCATGCTGGATGGTGCCATTGTCGCACAACCCATCTAAACTTGAATCTGAACCCTAAAACCCTAAACCCTAAAACCCTAAACCCTAAGCCCTAAAACCCTAAACCCTAAACCCTAAAGCCCTGAACCCTAAACCCTAAACCGTAAACCCTAAACCCAAAACTCCCGGTGTGAAGCAGCCGAGCTGGGGCTCTGGGATGTCCTGGCAGGTTCGGCTCGCCCGCCGCGCCGCCTGCGGCATCGCGGCGGCGGCGTGGGCGAAGCGTTTTGAGTTCCCTTCCCAGGAGGCCCGGCTTCTATACTATGCTATGCTATGCTATACTATGCTATACCATAGTATACTACGCTATACTATGCTATACTATACTATACTCTACTATGATTTCTTGATACTGATGTCATACGGGACCTTGGTGTCAGAATAGCAACGAACGGTGGGGAGATTCCATCGATGACCAAGCCCCCCCCCCCCGACCAGGGAATCTTCGAGTTCCGCGAGGACCAGATGCGATTGGAGCACGGTGCCTTGCATGGTGAAGCTGATGATCATGACCACTTCACAGACGTTTCCCCGGATGTGCTGAAGGTTCAACCCGAACTACATAGGTATGTCTTCCAGACGCGAGACATTGAAGTAAAGCCTTATACCTACAGCCCTGAAGAAACTCCTGAGCATTTGCAGGCCCTCCAGATACCCGGCATGGTGGCAAACGTCAGAACGGGAGAGTCCTTGAGCGTGTGAGCATAAGGCTTCCTCCACCTGGTCTTCCGCACACATCCCTTCCACAGCCGACGAGTTCGCTTCCCGTGGCACTACATGCCGCCTTGATTTGAAAGCCTTCCTGTTTGTTAGGAGTGCAACAATCTTTGGACCCTTCCCGGCATATTCAGGGACGATTTCCGTTGATGGCTGCACTAAGGCGCTAGAGTCCTAGATCAGGCTGCTTTTGAGTGAGGTTTCAGATGATGTGATGCAGACCCACTTGTTCAAACGAACGCGGGTGAGACGAGTCGCAGCACTAAGGAGGAGCAGACACACGTGACTATACTTGTGACAATCACAGTATGAAGAACGGCTATCAGAGTTACCATGGCTACCTGCAGAACAACAAGCAGCAAAGCAGCACTTAGTTCGAGTCGAACAGAGGTGTCGGCTGGAAGTGCTCAGTATGCAGGTCGTGGAAGTCGGTTGACTGCCAGAGAAGAAGAATTAAATAGTTAATTCGCTCTTTAGAATCGTACTCCTTCTGGCTATAGATCCGTGATAAGCAACAATGCACCTACAGCCTGTTCTTGCTCGCCAGGGCCCTTTACTAAACGCATGGTACTTTCGAGTATGGGTCAGGTTTAGCAAGCCGGCGCGCCAAAGTCCCAGTACATGGTAGCTGGTAGCAAGCGTGAAGGTAAGCCGGAGTCGGGAAGCCTTGCTTTCGGCTCGGTCTGTACTGGAATTTCGGGTTTCAAGGTTTAGGTGTTTGAAATACTGCTCGTCACTTGGCTCTCAGTTTCGGCAGTTCGAACAACCCCAAAGCGAAGCTCTGAGCTCGAGAGGGGACCTTTGAATACCGCCACAGACAGGCCGAATCCCTCTACCTGGTGGCAAGGGGACCATAGTTGGAAGGAGCACTGCAAGAGCCGGAGTGAGCTGAGGCTGACGGCAACCGACACGGATGACTGGTGGGACTATCCAGGCTCGATCTAGGTGCTGGACCTTGTTTCGGGGGTATTGTGCCATTCCGGAATCTCGAGTCGCCCTCCCAAGGTGTGGCCAAACGAAGAAAACCCAGAAGTCCAGGATGTTGGGGTCAGGCTTGCTGGTAGGGTTTTGTACAAACTCTGGGGACCTCACTCTTGGCCTTGGGCAGGTGGAATTCGGCCGGACGGCAAGGCAAGCCTTGTTTGGGGGGCTTGGTACAAACCTTGGCCATTGTGCAGAGGATTCGGCCGTAGGAGCTGGGAGATCTTAATGTGACACGGCTTCGCACCATTTGAACGCCTAGGTCTCAGTGTGGGATCTCTCTGCATCAGCCTTGACAGACCCTTGATTTCCGCGATATCTGCCAGCTCTTTTGTAAGTTTAAGCTGTTGTAAGTCGTATACCGTCTACGCTGCAGCACCAGGCGGCTGATCTGGCAACACCGCTTTGGGAGCCGGCGCAGGAGCCGTCTCGTGCCTCATGATGATCGCCACGTGTCGTGTGAAAGTTTAAAAACAGTGGCTGAGGCTGATGCTGCGTTTACCCTTGACTTCGCTTCTCGTGCTCATTTGCCTTTCAGCATCGATTTCGCCGAAAAACTTGCTTGACTTTCTGAGAATTTAGATTCCTGAACTCAACACGCAAGCTCGAAACCGTTTCCTGAAAAGTGTAGGGTTATCGACCCTTTGGACTCTTAGGCCCCCCGGCACCTTTGTCCGCGCGGTTCTTGCTTTCAACGTCCGAACGGCTTGTGAAATCCTGAGGCAGAGGCTGCTTCAAGAAGATGCACAAAGAACCAGAAACCCGAAGCCCTCAAGCCTAAATCCAAAAAGTTCAGCAAGGGGGGGGGGGGGTGGGAAAATCTTCAAGAAGCCTCTCCCCCTAAACACCAAAGCCCAAACCCTTAGGGACAAAAAACCCCAAACCCTAAACCCCAAACCCTGCAATGCGGGCTCGTCCAAGCTATGCAGGAGGGAAAAAACCCCTAAGCTCTCAACCCGAAGGAGCAGGACCCGCGCACGTCTGCTCAGGGCGGAGGAATGAAGTCTGGGAAGATCCCAAGCTGAGCTACAGAACATGGTTTTGGGTTTAGGGTTTCGGGGTTTGACAGGTTTAGGGGCAAGTGTCCGAGTTTCGGTACATCTGTCTTCTACGACGGTGCAGTACTATACTGTACTATCTTCTAGTACCTTATGTTATAGTATCGTACTGGGTTATGCTGTCGTACTGTACTAGTGCTGTGTTCTACTTTCTTCTGGTTTGATTTATTTGGCATTGTATTGTGTTGGAAGGAAGGTTCAGGGAACAAAAATGCTAAGGGCTGAAGGTATTCGGCTGCACGGTCATTTAATTGTTTTCTTGGGTGTAGCATAAGGTGTAGTGTACGATCAAGGTAGTTTTGGAAAGTTTGGCAAGCGAGCCGTCCTACAATGGCGCAGCTGACACAAGAGCGACTGGGACATGTTTTGTGCCAATCGCTGGTGATCTGCTAACCCTTATGGGGAGCCATCAAAGCATCATGGCTCTGCGGGTAGTGATGGGCGATCTTGTGTTCTCGATGCCAGGCATGACCTGGAAGAACTGGGACTGTTGCAACATCCTGAAGTCATGGTTGGCCCAATAATTAAAGCGAGGAAAAATTCTGTGATTTCGGCAGACATGGCTGCCTCCGAGGAAGACATGAGGCCAAAAGAACTTCCTACTGGTTATGGGGACTCACTCGACGCAGGTTCTCACACCCCTTGATGCTTGCTTTGTCACGCTAGCTTCAGAGACTAGTTCTGGACCTGCTCGCCGAGCGGTCTTGCTGGCATCCAGAATTTCGAGAGCGCCAGATGTGCATTCCGACTGATTCAGGCTGCAAGCTGCGCATGGGGTGTGCTTAAACGTTTGTATGTGGCTCTTTTCGTGGCCCCCCAGCCTGGGTCCTTTGTGCTTGCCCCCTGTGTCGATCTGTGAACGGCTAATGCCTCCTGGCTCATCGGAAAAGGAGGAAGCAGGGTGGTTCTTGCGAAAACTAGTGTAGACAGTTGCAAAAGGGCCTGGTCATTGCAAGCGTTCGGACAGGTCCCTGATCAGCCGAAATAATATAGAAGCCTAAACAATTACAAACATTATTCCTCAGTTCCTTTTTCTACTTATATTATAGGCAGCCCACAGCCCAATTCTAAGTAGTGAGGCCCCTACATTTCCCATCATCAGGTGTAGGTCGGTTGAACTCACCGGCAGGATTGAAGAGAGTCAGCTCGTCGTCGTCGTCGTCGTCGTAGTGTTGCGAATGACGAAAATCAAAATGGTCCGATGCACCATACCTTCGCACTACGACTAGTGGTAAGAAGAGCAGGAAGAAGCGGTGACTGGAATTATCGTTTGTCGTTTGTCTCTCCATTTGTGTTGAAGGTGATGCTCAGTTTTCAACCGGACACCTCGTCAGTGAACCGTGGCTTTGGGTCGCAAAGTTGCGTTGGTCTTCAATGTCAACCGGATCCAGGGATTCATTCCCTGAAAAAATCCTGCTGAGTCTTGAGGTGAACCTTAAAACTTGGCCCCGAAACCTAAACCCATTCCCCCCCCCCCAATTCCTGCGGTGAATCCGGCTGTTGCGTGATCGCACCTCCTGGCCCAGGGAGCGAACCGTCGAGGATGTTGCAATCTCAGCAGTTGTTGGGGCTTGTCCTGATATCTTACGAGTTGCCAGGTTATGAATAACTATGTTGCCTTGTTGTTGTATCATTACATTTTCCTGTTTTAGTATGTTACACAAATATGATGTAGTTGTTATGTTATTATGTTGCTAGATTGCTTAGGACTTAGGTGTGTTCCCATTTTAGTGTTATTGTGTTGCTATACCGCTTTAAACAGTACTTTACGATGTTATTTTGCTACTGTCGAGTCTTGTCTTGTCGACAGGCCGTTGTAGGCGTCAGGCGCTGGGAACGACATGGGTTTAGGGCTTTAGGGGTCTATGATTTAAGGGTTTAGGGTGTAAGGAACCTTGAAATTCATGACCGTTTTGGGTCGCACGCAGCATCCAAACCTCATGGTTTGCACTTAGAGCATCATAATGCCCTGCGATCCTAAAACACCCTTCTTGCAAAACACCGAATTCATTGCTCTAATAGAGCCGAGCCAGTAGCTATAACTACCCCCCTTATGCCCACTATATGCCAGACAACAATTCGCCACGTCCCGTCGCTGCGTAGATCCCGGAACCGCATGCCGAGGTGGACGTCTATCGGAAAGCAGCACCGGAGGTCGAAACGAAGTGCTAAGTTCCTGATGGCTCGATGAAGCGCGTTTCAATGGGCGTGAGTAAAAGCATAGTAAGAACCAGAGCAAGGTAACTGAAAGCCCATGAATACCGAAGAAATGATTCTTGCAACAGGTGCAACCGCCACCGCCACCGCCACCGCCATCGCCACCACCACCGCCGCCACCGCCACCACCCCCACCACCACCACCGCCACCGCC